TCCAAGCTCATCAGGGCTCAGCCTCACGGGGAATATGTGAGGAGGTGATTTCCCTCCTGGTTTACAGGTGTGGAACTTGTGACACGCAGCAGAGGCGAGACTTTGGTTCAAGTTTCTGTCTCCCAAGCCCGGATTCATGGTGCAGTTTAAGAACAATAATGTCAAAGTTGACCATCCTTCCCCTGGAATAGCTTTGGTCAGGGTACCCAGTAGATTCTGATATTCCAGTCTTAGAGACATGTTTCAGTCAGACATTTTTGCCTTTGGCCCCAGAGAGGATGACCCTCCACCCCCCAGCCCCAGTCAGAAAGAGCCAGACACCCGCACACCACACCTAAAACCCACATAGCACACCTAGAACATGTGACTCCTCCTCAGAGCCTGTCCTGTGAGGTCAGACCCTGTTTGTGAGCAGGCTGGAGCGGAATTGACCAGTGTGTTGCCTGCCTAGTGTCGCGTGTCCCCCCCCCACACTGCAGCTATAAGGACTCAAGTAACCAGACTCCCGTGTTAGGCACACACTACATGCTAAGGACCCACCCGGGAACAGGGGAAGCAAGGCACGCTGCTGCTGAGGGACATTAGCAAACTGACGGAACCTCTTGAGCAGGTGGGCACAAACTGAGGGGACACAAAGATAAATGGTGACTTTCCCACCTACGCCAGGACTGGCCGCACACTTGTTCCTGGAATAGCCGGTAAAAAATACTTTACGCGAACTTATCTTCATTATTAAACTTTTAAGCAATAGAGACACAACATGATATTAGGTGCCAGCTGGACACACAGTCCCACAGGGACTTCTTGCAAGAGGACCTGGGCCTTGGAACTTTTTCCTAAAGTCTTATAGTTACTTACTCAAAGCCATTTTAGACTCATCTATATGACACAGGATTCTGATGAACTCATGACCATAACTCCAGCCAGTCACAGTGGCATGCCAAGGGCTCTGTCTTAATAGCTGGGTAGTGCATTTCCTGGGCTAGATACAAATGTCGTAGTGAGAACTGGATCCAAGTTTTTTACAGACCTGAATTTGTAGACCCCCTGAGTTCAACACCAGGCCAACAGTGCACACTTCCAGACATTGTGAAACCTTATACCGGAAAGGGGTGCATATAGCACCCGTTACAGAGTGGCACTATTAGGAGGTGTGGCCTTATTGGGGTGGGTGTGGTCTTGTTGGAGGAAGTGTGACACTGTGGAAGCAGGCTTTGAGGTCTGATGTATGCTCAAGATACCACCCAGTGTCTGAGTTTGGATGAAGATGTAGAATTCCCCAGTACCATGTCTGCCTGCATGCCACCGTACTCCCAGCCACCATATTGCACCATGATAATAGTGGACTGAACCCCTGACCTGTGTGTAAGCCGCCACCTCATTGCAGTGTTTTCCTTTATAAGAGTTGCTGTGGTCGTGGTGTCTGTTCACAGCAATAGAAATCCTAAGACACAGCCCCACGAGATACTGAAAGAGTTGGAGGGTGGTATCTGTGTAGGAGTTGGCCAGATGTGACGGGGAGGGGTGAGCCCCAGCAGAGACCACAGTGTGGAACAAAGCAGGAAAAAGTGTCAAGGATTTGCTGACACCAATGTCACCAGCCCAAGGTCACAGGAGGCCAAACTGGTGGTGTGGACGTCAGGCAGGACAAGTTCTGTTGTAAGATCCCTCCCTCCGGCAGTGTTCAACTACCCACCCAGGAAGTCTCCTCAGGAGCTGATCTGGAGCCTCGGGACCCTCAGCCTTAGGCTCACACCCAAGGGTGATCGTTGGAGCTCCTGCTCAACCCAGAGAGGATGTGGTTGGGTTGAGAAATTCCACTCCCGGTTACTCAGGCGAGTGGAATGTCAGCCACCAGGAGGACACAGCCTGTGTTGATGGAGGCTATTCATCCAGCTCATCTTTCGCTATCCCAGGCACATGGTACCTCTGGCTCTGACTCTGGGGCTTTGGTGTGACTCCTTGACAGCAATGGGCTAGAGGGCTGTCTGTGGAGAGCCCCAGAAAGCTGGGGGCTGACCAGCCCTAGAACTCTGCTGTTCTGGCTCCCTAAGCGAAGGTTGGCTTAGACTGATCCCCGCCCCTTCCCAACAACACCCTTGCTCTAAGAGCTGTTGTCTTCCAGCCCAGCACAGTTTCCGTCACTCTCCCACACTCCTACTTCCAGCAAGAGCCCCCTTCCACGTTCCTTTCCTTGCATTGGAGTCAGATCCAAAAACACAACATTTGATTCTCTGGGCAATTTGACATTTATAGCACTGTAATTGTTACCTTAAGGCAGCAATTGTCTCTTCTGTTTCATATTCCTGAAAGCAGAGGCACCTCCAAATATTGGCATACTGTGCTCTGTGGGGATCTGTGAAGGACAGATGGGACAGCACCCATTCTCCCTGCAGCTCCCCCCCACCCAGCTGGGCCCTGTTCTGCCTAGTTTGGGGCCCTCAGGACCTCATAAGCAGAAGATGGGTGGAGAAAGGTTGCAGAAGATTTGGGGAAAGTGGGGTTTAAAGTCTAGGTTGAGCTAGACATGGTGGTCCATGCCTGTAATCCCAGAGGCAAGTGGTTCACCCACAACTTCAAGACCAACCTAGTCCACATCGAGAATCCCAGGTGTGCCAGGACTTCATAGTAAGACCCTCTCTCAAGAAACAAACCAAACAAAAAACTGGTAGGAGATTTTTATAACATGCAAGAGGCTCAGGGTAGGCCGGGCGGTGGTGGCATACGCCTTTAAATCCCAGCACTCGGGAGGCAGAGGCAGGCGGATCTCTGGGAGTTCGAGGCCAGCCTGGTCTACAAGAGCTAGTTCCGGGACAGGCACCAAAGCTACAGAGAAACCCTGTCTCGAAAAACCACACACACACACACACAAAAAAAAAGAGACTCGGGGTAAATCCCTAACACCTCACAAAACGGTGTTGACATGAAAACCATAGTTCTCATATTAAAGGGGTCAAGAGCTAGTTTATTCTGAAACCATTCTGAGTGGCCGTGGTTTCAGGAACACATTAGGTTACCCCAAATTCCATGTTCCAACATGGAAGTCATTTTAAAAGGTTTTAGAGTTTTACAAAGCAGAGAAAGTCATGAATTGGAGCAAGCTTAAAATATACTGGTGGTTATATCAAAGAGGCAGGGACAAGCTGGGGGAAGCTTTGCTATAGGCCCAAGATGTTACCTTGGCTTTGGGATTGGTAGCAGCTAGTTCTAAAAAGTTCTTTCTCTACTGTCACAAGATGTTAGTTCCAACATGCATGAAGGAATGGCTGCTCTGGAGAAGCAGAACCAGGTCAGGCTGGACTTGCTCTCTGAACTCACAACATTCCAGTCTCCACAGCTCTGACATTCTAATCAGCCAGTCAGCCTTTGCAGACAGATTCCCTCAGGAGTGTCCGTTCATAGGCAGATGCAGCTTCCTTTCAGGACTTTTCGTTCATACGGGCATTATGGCACACATCTGAAGCCACAGCATTTGGTAGGTAGAGGTGGGAGGATCTGAAGTTCAGGGTCATGCTCAGCTGTGCAGTGAGTTCTAGGCAATCCTAAGCTACGTGAGGGCCTATCAAAAACAAGCTAAGTCCAGGTTGATGTGAGAACGGAGAGGAGCCGGGTGGTGGTGGCGCACGCCTTTAACCTGAGCACTCAGGGAGGCGAGGCAGGTGGATCTCTCTTGAGCTTGAGGGCAGCCTGGGCTACAGAGTGAGTTCCAGGACACAGCCAGAGATACACAGAGAAACCTTGTCTTGAAAGAAAGAAAGAGAAAGAAGGAAAGAAGGAAGGAAGGAGGGAGGGAAGGAAGGGAAAGAAAGAAGAAAAGAAAGGAAAGAAAAGAAACTGGAGAGGTGAACGCGGGTAGGGAGAGGGCAGCTGCTCTATGCAGCAGCACAGAAGGCATTTTCGCGGGAAAGTGGGAACAAATGTGAGCCCAGAGCCCTCTTCTGAAATGTACAGGAGGGTGAATTCCACCATCTCCAGTCACAGTCTAAAAAGAGGTGAAAAGCTGGGGCGGGGGGGGGGGGGAGGAGATGTGGAGACCCAGGTCTCTGTGCAGAGAAGAGTAAGGCTCGCCATCCTCGGATCAGGTCGCGGCTCGGACACCTCAAGTGGGGTTCCCAACACAGCTCACCTTTCCTGGAGCAGGCAGGTGTAGCCACATGGGCCATACTTCATCACAGACAGTGACCAAGTCTATGGTCATGTGATTCTCAGCAGAGGTGGCCTCACTGCTTGCTGACCACTCTGGGAACTAGGCCGCAGTCTTGTACTGGTCTCAACGACTCAGCCATTCTGCAAAGGCTGCCCTGGTAGCTGCTGTATAATAGTATTGCCAGCGTACCCATCTCAGAATACCAACACACTGCAATACTTCCATGCTGCCTGGCCATGCTTCCAGCGCAGGCGGACCTCCCTAACAAGAAAGGGCTAGCACTTGACACAGCAGAGCTTCCGGCCCTTCCTTGTCCTTAGTGAGCAACTGTGCTAATGATCTGGGTTGAATGCTTCGACCTTCTCTGATGTGCTCGGGGTAGTGATGCAAAGTTGCTTTCTGACTGCAGGAGTGTGACCCAGACACACACATGCAAGGCAAAACACCCAAGCTAAAAGCTGCTTTCTAAGTGTGGCTCTTACTGAGGGTCCATCCTCTGCCTCGTTGGGCACAGAAGTAGAAATCCTAGCCATGTGTTGGTAGGACTCAAGGTGTTGCTTAGCTCAGCTTGTAAAGGGGCAGAACACACCAGGCTGGGGCTGGGAGTCACAGATTTGAGAGATGATAGTGTCTGATCAAGGGCAGGTGCTAGGGTGACCAGGGCAGGCACCGGCAAATGCTGTAAAGATGGGATGAAACGGAGGCATGGAGAAAATGTCTGATGGGTGGGACAGAGGTTGTGCCTGCTGTGGGCTGGAGAAGTGAGCAATGGGGTCACTACCCCCTCCGTCAGCCCCATCATTGGAGGCAAGCCTCACCAGGGCCTGCTGACTGTGCCTCTCCTTCCCCGTAGCCTGATGTTCACCAAGGTGAAGCTGGAGCAGGTTCTGAAAGGGCCGGAGGAAGCCCTCGTGACCTGCAGGCAAATGCTGAGGCTGTGGCAGACCCTCTACAACTTCTCTCAGCTGGGGTAAGTGGCTGTCATTGCCCCTTGGGTTGCTCCAGGTTAGAGGGCAGGGTTGGCAGGTGGTGGCTGCCAGGCTAACAGTTGTCTGGAAGGCCACGGTACCTACAAAACATGGTTGTTGGTTTGGGTGGAGATGTCAAACTCAGTGTTCAGGGATTTTTATATTCATGGCTCAGTTTTAATCCCTTGACAATCCTCTGTACCACACACAAAGCCCTGGTTAGAAGATAGAGCTCAGGGTGGTGAGAAAGTAGAAAAGCCATCATCGAGCCCCTGAGTCAGGTCCTGGGCTTCTTGCTTTATGTGACATATCAGCCACTTATGTCTTCTGTATTGTCCGAGACTGAGATTCATGGCCTTTGTCTAATTTGCCACTTACCTGTCAGGTGACAGTACTGGGAGGCAAACCCTGAGTTCCAGACCATGGAGCATGTGCACAGGACTCTGGGACCTAGAAGTCCTCCATTCTCCTCGTGAAGTCAGAGGAGGACCAGGGAAATAGCATGGAGTTAAAAACCTCAGACAGTTAGCCCTACCTTTGCAAGCTCCCAGGCCTGGGAGATTCTAGAGCAGGGCAGAATGAATGGGTAGAAACTTCCAGAGAACTGTGGGTGATGGATTTTTCACGTAAGGAGTAGAAACCCTCCCTGGCGATGAGCACTGTAAGCCCATGCACTGTTCTCTGGTATAGGTGGATTTGCATTCAAATGCCTTTGCTGGAACAGCAAAGCCTGACTCAGTTCGCAGAGGAGTGGCCCTGGAGCTGGCTGCTCCTTATCTGGCTGGCGGGTAGGCTGCACATCCAAGTGGCCAGTCTAGACAAGGACCCACAGACTGGTAGCTTTGACTCAGAAAGCAGGCTGTGCAGCTGCCAGGTGTTCTCATAGGGGCACATACTCCATTCTGTCCCCGGAGGCTGGTGGAGCTCACAGTGCAGAGCACCTCCTCAGGAAGCTGCCACAACTCTCACCCCAACATACAGCAGGACAAATCTGGATCCAGTCCCTCCTGGCTGCCCCAGGAGACAGGGACCTAGAGCCATAAACCAGAAGCCAGTGCTTGGAAAATCTAATTTTGGGCAGTCATAAACCAAGACCAAAATGCGCAGTGCGAGGGTCTGATCTACACACCATGGACCTTGCCAGCCTACACCACTCCCACCCAACACCCCTGTGTTCTGCACACACCATGCTGCTGGTCCGATGTTCTCATCACCCCCAGTCCCTCCTTCATGAAGCTACTGCCTCTCAGCAGCTGCTCAGCCCTATCTGTAATAGTCTTGATGACTTGCTTAGCTTGGCACATCTCCCTATCTGGTATAGATACTTCTTTTTAAAAAAAAAAAAATTATTTATTTATTTATTATGTATACAATATTCTGTCTGCTTGTATGCCTGAAGGCCAGAAGAGGGCACCAGACCTTATTACAGATGGTTGTGAGCCACCATGTGGTTGCTGGGAATTGAACTCAGGACCTTTGGAAGAGCAGGCAATGCTCTTAACTGCTAAGCCATCTCTCCAGCCCCCTGGTATAGGGTACTTCAAGTAACATGTGCCATGTTAGCCTTCAACTGTGCAGCACAGTGCCCCAAAATGCAATGCTTCAATGCCTTAGGAGAGGATCGCTTGTGGGAGAAGAGAAGAAGTATGATGGGCACTTATGGAATTGAGCTCTAAACTAGGCTCCTGTCCAGGTGTCTGTTCTTAGCTTGTGAGCCACACATTCTGCTCGTTACAGAAGAAAAGGACCATGAGAAAAGTCAGGCGAGGAGGAGCAGGACATCATTTTGGCCTCACGTCCCTGGCTCATTGATCTCCCCACTCAGGTGCTTCGAGAATTAGGAAAAGAAAGTCTTGGTCACTGTTCTGTTGCTGTGAAGGGACACCATACCCAAGGCAACTTTGAAAAGAAACCATTTGTTGGGGGCTGGTTTACAGTTTCAGGGGCTTTGTCCATTTTCATTAGAGCAGGAGGCATACTGGTAGGCAGGCAGGCAGGCAAGCAGGCATGGTGCGGGAGCAGTAGCTGAGAGCTGCATCTTGACCTTCAGGGAGAGAGGGAGAGAGAGCTAGTGCTTGCAGGAGACAGACTGACTGACTGGGCTTGAAACCTCAGAGCCCTCCCTCAGTGACACACTTCCTCCAAGAAGACCACACCTCCTAATCCTAATTCTTTCAAATAATGCCCCTCCCTGGCGACTAGCATTCAAATATAAGAGCCTATGGGAGTCAGTCTTATTCAAACCTCCACAGTGGCAAAGGAAAGGAACCATCCCTGATCTGTTATGTTGGAGAGATGGTTTCCTCCGAAGCCTATTTAAGATGGCTGAGCATCTACAAACCATGTCAGGACCAGTGTGAACCCGAGGTAGGACAACAAAGATCCCCTGGACTGTGGCTCCATCATCTTTGGAGGCAGCATCTTAGTGTACCTCCAGCAGGAAGACACCTTCTGGGACCTTTTCTGTAGTGGCTTTCCTGAAGTTTCCTCAACCCATGCCAAGTGCCATTGGCTTCCTTGGGCATGGGTGGGGGCTGACCAAGAATGCAACAGCAGCTGCCTTTCTGAGCGAAGTTACCTCCCTGGCTCCCCACACCTCCCACCCTGAGAAAATGAAAGCCCTCCCCCCCATGGGGTGGGAAGTGCAGGAGCTTAGAGAAATGGATGGAAACCAAAATGAGACCAGCACGTTTGTTTGCCCGCCATTCGGAGCTCCTCTGGGGCTACTGGGCAGTCTGAGGGTTCCATTGCAGCGGGTGGCTCCTGGACTTTCACCCAGGCCGTCCTCAGACAGAAGCCAGCAAGCAGTCCCTGTGCCCAGAGGTAGAGGGCATGGACACTGTGGTGTGTACATGTCGGCCTGTGTGTCCTGGACCCATGCTGGTCTGTCTGTCCTTCTGCTTGTCTCTGTCATTCCCTACCATTCTGGCTTTGCTCTATTTCTTGAGCTTGAACTTTTGGCCTCAGAGTCTGCTGAGATGGGGTTCCCTCTTGCTCCCTGCTGGACCTGGGGGTGCCGGTCATCCGCATCATGGAATTCTGCCCTCCTTTGCCTTCCAGAGGCCTGGAAAGGGATGGCAGCTTTGAGGGCCTCACAGTGAAGAAGCAGAACGGCATTCACCTGACCCTGCCAGATGCGCATGATGCAGAATCCGGTAAGGTCGGGGTTGATCTTGGCTCTGGGTGGGGCTGGCAATTGGCCCAAAGATGGGTGGTGGCCACCCATCGTGGGCAACAGAAGAAAGCCCATGCCTCCTCAGCAGAGTGAATTGGGAGAATGGGACAGATCCGGGGATGTGAGTTAAGCTAGGCTTTGTTGTTAAGACAGATGGAGTAGATCTCACTAAGCAAACCCAGGGCTTGACGCCAGAAATACCACCACAGTGCCTGGCTGCTTGGGGACCCACTGTCCCCAAGGAAGGGCATGGTGTGGGGGTGGGGGTCCTTATAATTAAAGAGAATCGTGTCCAGTTATCAGGGCTTCCCATGCTCTTGTCTCGTAAACCAGTCATCTGTGGTTTGTTTTGAGGCCTCCTGGGTTTATTGGAGCCTTTATTGCCTCTGAGGAAGAGAACATGCTCTTGTTTCACCTGCATGGGAATTTCAAATGTCAACAGCTTATAAATCCCGAGCAGGGCCTGCACCACCTACGGCCACAGCAAGTAAGGTTCTCTGAGGGCCTAGGTTAGCCGCGAACCAGTGCCCAAGGATCTTTTGGCTTCCCAGCTTCAAACGGATAGGGTCTTAACATATGCGAAAAGTGTGTACTTCAAAGACAGGAAGTCAAGATCACCAAAGAGGAGAAAAATCATCCTGCCATCTACTTGGAAAAATCTCTGAAACTCTTTCGAGGCACGCCCACAGTTAGTTGTTTCAGGGTGACTGTGTTGTGACAAGCTGGTCTCCACTCACCTGGAGAACGTGAAGGCCTTTCCATAACTGTGCCATGCCGGCGTGTTGGTTGTGTGTCTTCAGAGCCTTGCGTGACTACACTTTCACTTGCTTTACCCATTCCCTGTTGTCGAACATGTGAGGGTTTCTGTGTTCCGTATTAAAGGCAGGAGTCACGTGAGCATCTTTGCGGACACTTAGGATTGTTTTCCCCGGGATAAATTCTCAGTGGGATTTTTGCCAAATTACCCCTTCAGATGCACGCCGCTCCCTGGGGGAGAGGAACAGGCAGAAGAAGACCCTCCCTAGGGTCTGTGAGCTGGTGTGTGTGGCAGCTGTCCTATCCTGAGTTCCGTTCAGCCCTTGCCCTCTTGTTCAGCAGGCTCTCGGAGGGCATCATCTATTGCAGCCTCGAGGCTGGAGGAGGCCATGTCGGAGCTGACCATAACAACCTCGGTCCTGAAGCAGGGCCCCATGCAGCTATGGACCACACTGGAACAGATCTGGCTCCAGGCCGGTGAGTGTCCTCTGAGCCACTGATGCCTTGTCCTTGAGGATGATGGGGAGAAAGAGATTTCCGAGGAGGCTTACGAAGTTAGACTCTTAGTTCTATAGTTCTGTTTCCCAACTCACTTTCTTTCTTTCCTCCCTCCCCGCTTTAGCCTCCCCCTCCTAACCTCAGAGAATGTTTGCACCCAGAATTCAGATCCTAGCATCTCGTCTAGGTGCCCCAGGAGAAGAATGTTCCTCCCCTCAGGTTTCTGCGTATCTCTTGTCCGGCTGGCTGTGGATTTTCTTCTTTGCCCAGTGGGGTGAAGCCCCCGGATAGGCGAGGTCTGAGGTCAGGAGAGGGCTAATGCACGGAGACTGCTGTCCAGGTGACATACCTCTTGGGCTCCGGCCAGCACTGTTCCTACAGGCAAATGAGTGCTAGAGGGATAGGATTCCGGAAGCTCTGGCTCGGGTCACCCAGATCAGATCCCGTGCCGGCTGACAACTGGCTAGCCCTGGTCTGAAATGACTCACAAGTTAGAGCAGTCGGCAGGGCGCGTCATGGGCGCTCCACGGCTAGGCCATGGCTTTGGTAGCCTCCTTCCGGTTCGTCGTGTGGCTGTGAAGCACCTACGGAGTGTGTGTTTGGCCCAGAAATGCCAAGGAGTGACACACTGTAGGGTGTTTGGCAGCTTAACCTGACCGTGGTGTGATGGGTTACAGGGAAAAGAATAAGGTCGAATAGGAGACAAAGATGTCTCTCCCACACCGTACAAGAAGGTGAGAGGAGACCTAAGCCTACCAGGCTCCCAAACTGCCGAAGACTGGGCCCCCGGGCCCCGTTTTCTCTGGGTTCATCTTACCCTCCTTCCTGTTCTCACAGGAGTGGCCTGTCGTCCCCAAGGAGGGGGACGGAGGAGGAAGCAAGAGGAAGCAATAGGCAGTTCCCTGGATAGGTGGTGATGGCGGTCAGTCAGAATGCTCACTGATGAGGGCCCAGTGCTACCCGTGGCATGCTTTCCACATGTGGACACATCAGTGTGCAGCCTGTCCCCACTCTTGTCCGGGACTCTGAATCTGGAGAGAAGAAGAATGGACCTGGATTCACAGAAAGCCTAGACAGAACAGCATTGTGATTACAATGTAATGCAAATACTGCCCCACTTAGCATCTCAGGGTTGCTCTGGGTTGGGTGGCACTCAGAAAGGGAATGTCTCGAGGGAGGGAAAGGTGTGATTAACAGTGAAGCCATCCCAGCCTCTGAGAGGTGGAACAGAGCCCTTGCTGCCGGGTCAGCATGGTCATGGGAGCCCCACAGATTGCCACGTGGCCCTCTGACAGTAGCTCTCTAGGCCTTTTGTTTTCCTGATGTGTTTGGGATTTGCACTTGGATGCATCTGAAGCCACCTTGGGTTTCCAGGTGTATTGCTTGACACTGGGGAGGCGCATGTGCCCGCAGGAACTCCAAGGAAAGGGAAAGGTGAAAGGCCTTTCGGAACCTGGAGCAAAACCTGGTGTGTCATGACAGACACACACCCTTCAGTGAGTCACGGGTCAGCCTTTCTGCTCTGGACATTATCCTGATGTCACTGCACAGAGAAGTCTGAGAGCAGCCTCTGGACACAGAAAAAAGCACAATCACAGGGGATTGAGCGGGTGTGGTCACAGATCCAAAACTCTGGTGCCTTCTACCAGGGAGAAGCCTATTTCAACAATACAGAAAGGGCAACCTCGAGTGGCACTCTGCCTTCTCTAGGGCACTGCTCACATCCCTGCGGTTCACAGCGGCTCCTCACGACACTCATTCTGAGGCAAGAGATAAACATGGAGGAAAAGTACCCTCCCTCTTCTCATAAGGACACACCGTAGAATCTCCATGTATCCCTTCACCCTATGAGTCACTGGCCAGGGCTCCGTTATTTGACTGTCCCTCACTGCAAAGGACTCTGACATTATTCCGCATGTCCCCAAGCCTCACTATGAATCATGAGATCTGTTCTTCCGGAAGCAGAAAATAGACAGATGTACAGCTTCAATGGGAGTGAGAGAATGTGTCCTCGGCACCTCATCATGTCAGGACCCACTTGTATCCTCTGTCCCTGGGCTGCCATCTTCACCAGCATGTCCTGAATACCTGCTGGAGGAAGCTGCCAGGACCAGGTCCCCACACTGCCCCACCTGGCCCAGGCTAAGCGTATTGTGGTCAGCACCCCCCATACATACTCTCCCCTCCACTCCCACCCTCCACACACTAATGCTAACAGATACTATATTGTGCAGGGGGAAAAGGAATCTCCATCACTTCTGAATGAGCTAAGTTTGGTTTGGGATAAACTGCAGCCGAATCTGTCAATCAGGTCCACTGTGAAAACTGACTGGGACCGTCATGCCCTTTCTCTCCCACACTTCCTTTCTTCTTCCACTCCCTCAGGCTCCCCAGATTCCAGGAGGGTTTGCACTGAGGCTAGCAGTAGGGGTCCTGCTTCCTGGGCTATGGGTCTGTTAGAATGGGAAAGCTGCTGCCAGACCCTGTGTGTTCCAAAATCTTCAGTGTGCAGAGGTCCTTTCCGTAAGAGCAACACACACACACACACACACACACACACACACACACTTCTCACTACTGAGAGCATCTCTGTCAGCTTACAGTGTACCAAAGAGAAGGGTAAGGACACACACAGGGACTTCCCCTGCCCTGAAGATCCAAGGACTCCCAGACAGCTCTAGGCTCTCTGTATTTGTAGGAAGCTGACCTGGCCTCCAAACCCCAGTAAGTCATATTATCTGAGAGCTTTAGGGACCTCATCCTGCAAGTGTAAGCCACTGCGCACGCGCGCGCGCGCGCGCGCGCGCGCGTGTGTGTGTGTGTGTGTGTGTGTGTGTGTGTGTGTTTTGATGTTCACTATAGTTACAGCAGCTCTTAGGAGGGACCCTGACCTTCAGGGCAGAGCCAGGCTGAGAACAAGGGGTAGAAAAGGGCCATAAAAGCCGCCTGGCTTCAACCTTCCCTCCCCTTATCCATCTTTGCTCCTCATTCATTTCCTGTCTTCCTTGACTCTTTGCCTGGCTCCTACCCTTCTTGCTCCTCCTGCTTTGGTGCTGTGGAGGGCTCCTCTAACATTTATTCTCCCCTCCTTCCCACATTCAGAACAGTGGGGTCCTGAGCCCTGACTGTCATACCTGTGCTGCCTGGGGCTCAGTGCTGGGGGGGCTCAGTGCTGGGAGGGGGCATGTTCTTCTTTGGAATCCTCTGTGACCCTTTGATTTTTCTCTGCCCCACTCCCACAGTCCTTTGTTCTGTCCTGAGCGTCCACACCTCCTGCTTCATGGGGAACCATGCTTACCTTCTTTGAGATGGATGAATATGTCCTCACTGTGGAGGTCAAGGCCAGGCAGGGGAGATTCCTTTTAGACCAGTGGTTCTCACCTTCCTGATGCTACCTACATCCTTTACTACAGCTCCTCCTGCTGCAGTGACCCAAACCATAAAATTATTTCATTGCTACCTCATAGCTGTGATTTTGCTGCTGTTATGAATTGTAATATAAATATCTGACACATGAAAGGGCCGTTGGACCCACGGGGGTCATGGCCCACAGGTTAAGAAGCACTGTTTTATTTTATTTATTTATTTTTTGGTTTTTCGAGACAGGGTTTTTCTGTGGCTTTGGAGCCTGTCCTGGAACTAGCTCTATAGACCAGGCTGGTCTCGAACTCACAGAGATCGGCCTGCCTCTGCCTCCTGAGTGCTGGGATTAAAGGCGTGCGCCACCACCGCCCGGCTCAAGAAGCACTGTTTTAGAGCCTTATCTATTTCACTCTTGTCCCAGGCCGTGCACAGCTCCCTCCATTTTCGGAGGAGGTCTTGACAGGTTCTCACCTGAAAAGGCCCTGAGGTCCCGGAAGGGTCCCCTGCTTCCCAGCATAGGGCCAGCCTGAGGACAAGACCCTCCCTGTTGCACAAGAGTACGGGAAAGGCCTTAGAGAGTGAAATGAGCCCCCAACCTGGGGCCTAGAGTGGCGGGGCTACTAGAACCAGCTCTGGGTGCAGGGTTAGACCAGGCTGCCTCTGAGAACAATAAGAGGGACTTGCAAAGCTCCAAGGAGCAGCTGTTTTCCATTTGTACCCCGGGGAGAGAAAGCACAGAGAAGGGTAGTGAGGGAACCAAGAGCCAAGACCGAAGAGGAGGCTGAGCCTGAGCAGGTGGCAGGGAGGGAAAAGAAGGGAGGAAGAGAGAAAAGGAGCTGGGGACGGGAATGTACTTTGACAGGCAGGAACAAAGGCTTGCGCGCTGCCATAGATAAGGCTAAGCACTGAGTGCTAACCCAGCCCTCGCCAGGGGAGCACATGGGTGTGGGCATGGCAGGCCTGACAGCCGTCTGAGGTAGAGGATCCGGGCAGTGGTGGGCACCATGCCACCAGGCTCCTGCTGCAGCCGTGGCTGGCCGGCCGGCCGGCTGACTGGCTAAGAGCACCATGTTTGGTAAAACAGCAAGCAGTAGCTAGGAGCACCTGCCCAGGGACACGGAGGTTATGAAAACATGGTAGGTACACTGAAGCCCCCAGGACCTGTGTGAGGCCTTGTGGCCAGAGCCCTTAGGAGACCTGCCACTCTGACTCCTGCCTGAGTGCCAAAGAGACCCATCAGAGGGCAGAGGAGCCCACTTCTCAGGGAGGGGTCCTTGGTATCTGGCTTTTCGGCAGGGCCCAGGGCCTCAGAAAGCCCCAGGGCCCCCAGCACTAATTGAAATCTGTTGATGTGAACACACTGAGGAGTACCCGAGGCGAGGACCAGGGACGGTCTCCTGGGCACTTGGAGGCAGAGCAGCAAGTTGTAAACAGCTTAATGAGACACGACAGAGCCAAGTGGGCCCAGCCTGGCTGGCTGCTGACCCTAGATTCTCAGAGCGCCTCCCGGAGAACTCACCCACAGCTGCTGGTGTGTGTGTGACGTGGGCATCTACCCGCACCAAGCCTTATACCGCACCCGTTTCCACTGTACCCTGGGGCTTCTAACACAGTCCCTCCCTTCTCTCTACCTGCTCAAATGTGAACTCCTCTAGAAAAAGCTTCCTGACCACACCACTGTGGCACTGACCTGGCCCAGCCTGTACCTGTCATTTCACTGTCCTGGACCCAGTTGCCACTGCCACTCCCCTGTTTTCTTCCTTATGGGTGGACTGGACATGTAAGTCTGTGTTTGATAGAGCTGCACATTATATACTCAGTTATAAATAGAGCATGTGCCAAGGCCCCGGTAGCGGCTCAATAGGAGAGTAGAAAAGGGGAATGATAGGGAGACGAGCCAGATCCCTGTCCACTCGCCAGCCCCACCCAATCCTGGCTTGTCACTGCCTCTAAGGATAGGGGCCTTGGATGTCTACCCATCCCTCTAACCACGGCATGAGAGTTTGTCTCCTCTGATTTTATTTCTCAGATTATCACAGCTCCTTACCATCATTGGGGGAAAAAAAAGTGCTCCAAATGCTCTCTGTAATATTTTGGGATGAGGCAAGCTGATTGGATTATACAATGAACTTGAGGTAGCCTTCCTGCCTGAGAACCCCTCCCACTGTATACTGCAGTTCATTAGGCTGTCTTCCTGACAGAGCCAGGTCTGTCCATCTCTTCCTGGGAGTTCCTTCCCTACCCCAGACATGCTCTGAACTGGTGTAACCTCAGCATTCAGCCTGTGCTAGGAAAAGCTCTTGGCAGAGCCGCAAGGCAGACTCTGCTGGCCTCCCGCGCTCCCCATCTGTGTTGCCATCCTTCTGTGACTTCCGCATAGGCACCGGCTCCGGGAGGGGGCAGCCGAGCCCTGGGGGCCGCTTGGAAAGAAGACAAAGTGGGCCAGCAAGCAGCGTGTCTAAAAGCGTCTGGAGTGGGCGAACGCCTGTGCAGTGTGGGGCTGAATGCACAATTCTGTGGTCTGCCTGGAGATGGGAGAAACAGCACCTCTTCCCCTAGCCCTTCATGAGGATCTGATGCTGACTGCTGGCCGTGTGTGTGTGTGTGTGTGTGTGTGTGTGTGTGTGTGTGTGAGAGAGAGAGAGAGAGACAGAGAGAGAGAGAGAGAGAGAGACAGAGACAGAGAGAGAGACACAGAGAGAGAGAGAGAGCATTAGAGAGAGGCTGTGGGGGGAGAGGAAGCCGGTTCTGCAGTTGTCCTTCCTCTGTGAGGAACTGGAGCAAGGCCCTCCCCACCTCAGCTTCGCTGTTTATGGTGAAAACCCTAATGACGCATGCCTCCCTCTGAGCCTACCTGTGAGGGTTAATGAGACAGAATAGCTTGTGAGGTTGGGGCTTGGTCCCAGTCAGCCTCCTTCAGACCAGGAGGTAGCCTTGCCCCTGTGCCACTTGACATGAGCTTCGTGTCCTCAGCAGAGGCCCCAGATCGCTCTGTCCCCGTCCTCCACAGCATTTGGTTCTCCTGGGCTCCAAGCACGCTCCCACCTCATCCTGAGCACGCCAGGGCCCAGTATACGTTCTCAGTTACTCTGCTTCGAGACTGAGAGGCCTCCAGGATTGTCACCAGGTCTCTTCCCATCCTGCCCTCTGCCCAGAGAAGCAATGAACAAAAGCCAGGACAGACTGAGACCTGTGTCAAAGACGTGCAAGCAAGCAAGCAAGCACGCACTTAACCCTGGGCCACACTGTTCCCCAGTGCTGGGTCTAAAGTCAGGCAGCCTGACATGAACTCCATCCCTTATGCTCTCTCTGTGGTTCTGGGTTTCTAAAGTGGGATGGTGAAAGTACTTTCTCTAGGGTTTCTGTGGCCTTGGCTGAGGCCGTTTGTACCCCGCATGGTGACTGACAGAGTGGACACTTAGAGCACTTCACAGCAAGGTAGCCCTGGGTCTTGACTCCTTGGCTCAGCCTCAGCTTTATGGGCTCAGGGATGTGGGCTGAGGCCGCTCCCTTTGACTAAACCCCCACTCACACTTCCCCCGGCTCCTGTTTTCACAGCTGAGCTGTTCATGGAGCAGAGACACCTCAAGGAAGCAGGTTTCTGCATCCAGGAGGCTGCTGGCCTCTTCCCCACCTCTCACTCGGTGCTCTACATGCGGGGCCGGCTGGCTGAGGTGAAGGGCAACTTGGAAGAGGCAAAGCAGCTGTACAAGGAGGCGCTCACAGTGAACCCGGACGGCGTGTGCATCATGTACAGCCTGGTGAGTCATCCTGCCTCCTGCCACCTCCTTGCCCGTCGCTTCACCCTTCAGGCTAGCACCTTGCTGCTACCGCCGCTGCCACTGGGCGTCTCTAGAAAGTGACTTCCTGCCAGCTCTGCTGTGAGAGGTATCTTATATGTCTTATCGGTGTGAGCTGTTTCCCTCCTATCAGAGTCTACATTGATGAAAAAAATCTAGAAGGGTTGGTTGACATTTTTTGTGGCTTCCATGTTGTTGTGTAATTCTCTATGTGATCTACATCCAAAGATTCCATGGACACTTGTTAGAACCTTACCCTGGGAGCTAACCCAGACTCTAGACATTTCCCCAAATGCTTTGTATGAGGGTCCTCAGACTCTCCCCAACCTTTGAGTTGCCTCTTCCATTCCATAGGAGCTCTGTCTCCTTAGGGTGCTCAAGGGTGAGCCACGTCAGGTCTAGCTTGAGTGTATACTGCAAATGGCCCTGGGTCATTAGACGCCAGTTCTAGAACATGGATTCCGGACCCGGGTACCAAGGGCACAGTGACACACCTACAACACCCACGGGTAGGGAGGTTTGGTAGCCTGTCTTAGCTACCTTTTACCTTAGGTGATCATGGGTAGTCACTGTCTCTGAACCTTGATTTTGCTTATCCATACAGTGACGATTCTACAGCCTGGGAAGCATCATTGTGATTCTTACTCTGTAGAATTAGACTCCAAAGATGACCTTCCCCTTGCTTTCTGTAGCTGCTTCTGGAGAATGGAAATCAGGACAGGTGGAGTAGCAGGAAGCAAGCCCACCCGCAGAGGCACGAGTGGTCTTGGAAGGACCTTTTCGGAGCCCATAGTTATCTAGGTCCTGTTGAGGTCTGGGTTCCAGTTGGTTGCCCTCTCACCTTGAGGATGGCTCTTGCAGTGCCCCTGACTTCCGGCACAGGGAGATCACAAGGATGGGAATAGTTTCATGTGGTCAGAGGGTTCCCACTGCCAGAAGGGGACGCAGCCCCGACAAGAAGCCAGAAGGGTTGGGTTTCAAATTGGGTTTAAAGAGTTTAGGCGTATACTAAAGAAATCACTTGAGAGACCAAAGCATCTTCTATTATTTCTACCCAGTAGCCCTTGAAAACAGAACCAAGCAAACATTCCCTGCTCAGCCCTCGCTCCTGTTGTCAGCTTTCCTCTTGAGTTGTTTGAATTTTGAGCCCCAGATAAAGAAATCGCAGGCCACATCACACAGCCCTGTCTCTTCTCATAGCTTCCTCCCATCCTGTGGACAGCCCAGCTGGCATTTGGTGTTTTTACAAGGCACATCCCCCTTCTCCTGTGTTTCAGACATCAGCTTAGCTGATTAATGCCTCACTAGGGGTCATGTCCAGAAAACCTGATTACTGAGGAGGACCGGGCTGGCATGATTCACGGATATGAGCCTGCGGTCTCAGCCCTCAAGCCCAGCAAAATCCAATAACAAGAACAATTTGGAAGTAACAGTGTACCATTTTTCATTTATGCTTATTATTGTTTGTAGCTATTTTCTTGAAACTGAAGCAGTTGCCAACCATGGGTTTCCATGGTAACTGAATAGCTGTCCAGAGTAGCTCCCTGCAGATGTTACTGAAATGGTCCCTTTTCTCTTCCTGGGGTGCCTTGCTGATTTAATGAAATTGGAGCAAGTCGGAGCCAGGCCTGCCCACCCTCAGTTTCCAGCAAGCAGAGGGGCAGTCGGCTCCTGCGTGGGCAGCCCATCCCCTTTCCACAGGCTTTGTTCCTGCCAGCATCCCACACATATGCATAAAGAATAGCAAATTGCAAGCCTGGAGAAGATTTACTAAGCATATTTTCCTAAAGACGTGTGAATGCTTTTAGCATGTTGATTCGAGTGTTCCCCTCATCTAAATGTCTTCCTTGTGCTGACCCGAGACTCGGGACATCAGGGCTCTCATCCTGGGTCTGGCCTTGGTTTACTTGGGGGTCTTAAGGAGACTTAACTTCCATGTCCCCGATGCCCCCTTTTGTAAATGGATAATAATGGTCCCTAGACTATAGTGTTCTTCTAATCAAATGAGATCATGCACATGAAAGTCTGCAGTGAAATAGGGAAGGAGGTTTAGACAGCATACAGACCACTATTCTCCAGGCCCCTCCACTGACAGACATTGGTAATCAATCACAGCATAGCTCTGCTTTGAAACATCAGTGGAGCCTGGGATCTTTAAAATATGATATAACACAGTGGAAAGTATTTCTAGTGGGTTAGGCCAGTTTGATATTTCTACCAAGAATTGATTGTAAAACCATCTGCAGAGAATGAGAGAGACATTGTTTTGTGTATTCTGGGATAGATGCATCCTTAGAGAATTATCCAAAGAAAAGAACAAAGAAGGGTATTGATCCCCCACCATGAAGTCACTGCCAAGGCAGATTCCTAGGGAAGACATTGTAGCTGTACAACACCACTGAGCCTTTACAGAAACACTGCCTATCGTAGGTGTAAGCAGGAGAGCTATCCTTTCCCGTGGGATTTCAGCCACATACAAGCCTGGGCTGGAAAATTCTTCTGAAGTCATGGGGAAGTCCCCCTTGCCCAGAGTCTGGAAAGAGGAGGGTGGGGATATTCCTAGGGTACTGTTTAGGGGCCAGGTTTGAACCCACATCATAGGGCAGGGCTGGCAAACACCAGGAGAAGAGAAGACACCTGTGAAGGTGTCTAAGACAGGGACAGGTGTTTTGCTGCCCTGTCTGCCATCTTCCTCCCAAGATGCGATGGGGGAGCTCTGCCTGGTTTTGACTTCACCCTCCATGCAAGTTAGGAATCCACGTCAGACCATGCATGAAGGCATTGCCTCCTTGGCAGTTCTATGTCTGAGGTGGTGGGGGAGAGGGATGACAGGGACATAACGCTCTACTGTGCCCACAGCAGACTCCAGAGCAAGAGGATCCCTGATCCGTCTAGTCCTAGAGGCTGTCACAGGTAGTAGGAGTGTCTGCCAGGCAGTCTCCACCTTCCTCCACCACCCGAAACCCTCCTCGGCTAGAGTACTTGAACTCTGTGTGTTGGCGGAAGGCTATAGCTGACATTGTGTGCCCCATGTAGTATGAGTACAGAAGCAGAGTCTTTATCAGTGTCCACGGAGAAGGAGGGTTGGTCTTCAGGGAGGGCAGGAAGGAACCCCAAGCTCTTACCCTTCATCTCTCTCACAGAACTCCTCGGTAGCACTGGACACTTCCAACACAGTGGGATACAGGAGCCTAGACAGTAGCTAATGGTCTGACCAAGCCAGTGAGAGCCCTCTCAGGAGGGTGTTCCTACGTTGACACCTTAACAGGGAGGGTCATCGATTGTTCCTGAGGCTGAGGTTGACGTTTGACTCCATTTCCCAATACAATGAAGGAGAACATCATTTTCCTCCGTCTTTCTGAGTTGCTGCATTCACTCCCCACCCCACCATACAGAAGTCAAAGGAACAGAAGAAGCAGACAGTAGTAAATGATTGGGGGCTGGGGGAAGTGACAGTCTCTGAGGTTGTCTGGAACGCTCTCCTAGACAGTCTTCAGCAGAAAACCTACAGTCTTAGAGATGTGCCAAGACAAAGGAGTAGGACCTTGACACTCTAGGGACAGCAGGTTTGGGGAAGCCAGATGGGACGCTAATGGTGGACAGAGGCTCCTCGTGAGTGTACTCCTGACATTCTAACGGGCCCTTCTGGGGCCCATCAGGACCTGATGTTGAGTTCTGTAACCAACCTTTGTCCCTCTGTAGAGGTGAAGGGGACTTTGTAAATATCTTTCTCCTGTGTCTGCTTCTTTTCAGCTGCTGTTAGCTCAGAATAGCCTTCTCGCCAAAGTGGTGTATGTAGGGTTAGTCCGTTCTGCAGTCTCAGCTCCACTAAAGACTCAAGCTCTGGCCACAGGTGGGCCCACTCCCTCCACCCTTGGCTTGCCTTGGATTGGAAGGTGCTTCTCTGCTCTGGAGACAACTCAAGGCACTCAGCCCTGAGGGGGCATGCAAGGTGTTGTGGGTGTAGCCCCTGCTTTGTTCTCCCAGGGACGGACTTCAGAGACACAGATTCTTGCTCTCTTATGGGGGACTAGCTGCAGGTTCTCCCAGAACCTTTCCTCCTTGGGCACCACAGTCACAGTGGGAAACCCTTCCGTACCAGCTTTGGCTCATAGTCTAATGCCCAGGGATGCAGATGTTTTCTTCCATCTGCCCTGGGAAGGCAGGGAGATAGCAGTGTTGCCACCTCTCTCCTCCTTGATGGCACAGTGACGTAAACTATTCTCCTTCATTGATCTAATCCTCAGTGTATATCAGCCGCGTGACAGGCTCAGGAGTGGCTGTGGCCCCAGAGACGTCTTTGCACACCTTCCCCCGCCCTGCCGCCCCCCCACCTACAGCACTGAGAACTGGGTTCTGAGGCCAGAGAGGTGGACTCTGGTTGTAAAAGCCTGTAGAGCATCCCCACCCAGCTCTCCCAGTCCTGGAGGGGTGGTACCAGATTCTCAGAGTGATAAACCAGAGATGGCCAGCCTTGTCCAACCATAAGTTATGAGAAAACTTAGGTATTATGTTGCTAGGCTTTTCTTTTTTCTTTCTTATATCAAAGGGAATATAATTTTGGCCCTTGTGACTTCAAAGCATGCCTTAGGGCTCAGAGGAGCTGGAAGCTGTGCAGACAGCATGGGGTCCCACAGTGGCAGCAGCCTGAGCTAGTCCTACCTTTTCCCAAGTGGGCTTCTGTTGGACTACATCATATCAGTGTGGGGTAAGGGTCTTCGGTGCAAACTGCCTTGTAGTTCCAGGGGAAACTGATGATCAGTTGGGAGCTGAGGAGGGAAGGAGGGAGAGGAAGGCCGAGACAGAGGTCAGAATTCCCTTTGGAACTGCTTCTAGCGCTGGCTAGCTAAGATCCCAGTACAGCAGCTGGCTTCAGGAGAACTGGCTGGCAGTTGAACGTGGCTTTCAAGCCTACCTGACCTGCACTTGAGGTTCACCTTGCCTTGCTCACTGTTTAACCT